GGTCCGTCCTGGACCATTCTCAAGTCGATCGACTTGAGAATGGTCCAGGACGAATGAGTCCACAATTGACTTGAGAATGGTCCAGGACGGACCGAAACGTCGTCGTCCCTTCACCTTCTAGTGTGTGGTCTAGTCAACAATGAGCACAGTTATGTTAATGAAAAGACTAATGGTAATGATTTTTGAGTCACGTGCCAAGAGCCACACATAAACAAGGGGGATGGGAAGGGAGGGAGGGACTAAGGGGGATGGGATGGGAGGGAGGGACTAAGGGGGATGGGATGGGATGGGAGGGACTAAGGGGGATGGGAAGGGAGGGAGGGACTAAGGGATGGGATGGGAGGGAGGGACTGGATGGGATGGGAGGGGGACTAAGGGGGATGGGAAGGGAGGGAGGGACTAAGGGGGATGGGAAGGGAGGGAGGGACTAACGATCATTCAGCCCCAATGGATGATGGATTTAATGAAACTACCAATCACTTAAAACCTGATTTCGAGCGTAATCAGAGCACAGAGAGCCGAGGCAAGCGGCCCTTAGCACCACCGCCCACAAATGAATCGTGAATTATCTCCTGATTGTCTAGTACCAAACTGATTGTGTGGTGGGGAGGCTGAGAGAGAGAGAGAGAGAGAGAGAGAGAGAGAGAGAGAGAGAGAGAGAGAGAGAGAGCACACAGAGACGCCCTGTGCCCCAGCATCACTCGCGAGATGCCCTCTGAGACAACCACGTGTCTTAGATGTGGTTGGGAGCTAATCCCAGCCAATTCAGTACTATGCAATCATGGTTTCTGAAAACTGATTTACGCCTGAATGACAATCAAACTAAAATTGCATAAACGGCCTTGTTTGAACTAATGAATCTGACCTCACACTTAGCGTATAGTGATTTTGACGTTATAGACTGCTTCAAAATTATTTTTTTTTAATTAAAAGCACCGAGATATTGACTCTTCTCAATTTAATGACGAATAGGCTCAATAGGTCAAGTGGGTTGGCCAAATTGTTACGCTTGTGGTTAGGGCCAAACTGCCTCAAATTTGACGCTTGTCAGGTCTTGACAACGGGCTTGACAACGGAAGCCTTTATGTGTACTCACCTACATGTGCTTGGAGAGGTCGAGCGGCTGCTCTTTAGGCCCGCCTTTAGGCTGTCAGTAGTCCAGTGTTGTGAGTTTCTGTTTATGGGGCTTATTATATTTATATTTAAAATTGTGTGTATTTTGATTATCCTCTTACCTGTCACCTCTCCATGCTGTCACCCCCCTGTCACCTGTCTCTCCCTCCCACCTGTCACCTCTCCATCCTGTCACCCACCTGTCACCTGTCTCTCCCTCCCACCTGTCACCTCTCCATGCTGTCACCCCCCTGTCACCTGTCTCTCCCTCCCACCTGTCACCTCTCCATGCTGTCACCCTCTACCACCTGTCTATTGTTACCTCTATAGAGTGGTCTCTAAAGTTAATTTCATCGCACTCCATTACATAGTGATGGAGGTGTGCGCGATTAACCTTTCTGACACAGTGTATTGACACCACAGCCCTTCTGACACAGTGTATTGACACCACAGAGACCACAATACACACGTTGGCTTGAACTGTACACAACGAATAATAAAATAAATACGACACATACAACAAAAAAATGATCTCCAAACTGACGACACAAACGGGTGAAAGTGTGTTGGCGCTAAACACACGCCAGGCATAC